GGGGGCGGGTTTGGCGTGGAGGGGGGTGCATTGCGGAACCTGGCCCTGGGGCAGCAGGGAGAGTAAATCCGGCCCTGACTGCGGCTGTTGTGTGAGGAATGTAAGTGGCAAGTGTTGCTGCGCTCCGGTCACAGGGAGATCTTTGTGATCCCTCCACTGGCTCAGTGAGTAAGGACACGGCGCCCGCTGCTGCACTCGGGGTGATTGGGGTGATCCCAGGCACACCTGGCACACCCCGCGCACACGCCTATGAGAGGCTCTGTGGAGGAATCCCGGGGGCTGATCTGGCTCGTTGCACGCCGGCAAATCAGAAAAGAAAATGGCTCGCTGCACTCCGGGCTGCGGCCACGTTAACAATGGATCTGACGGGATGGAATTGCATGCACACAGTTGTCTCAGTCATACATTGCGAGTTCTCACAGCACCCGACACCGGGGCGGTCACATGGCACTCACCCAGGTAGATGTGCCCGTTCTTGCCCAGCAGGGCCGCCCCCACACGGAACTTGCTGTAAGGACAATGAGCGAAGGTTTTGGCTTCGTGACTCATGGTGACCAGTTTCTGGATCAGTTCGGCATCCAAGGCTGAGTTTGCGCTCTTCTCGATTTTGTGGTCGGCCGGAAATCCGTCTCCTCGGCGGGACGCGTTGTTATTGGTCGTTCCCGATGATGTGCACGGATCTTGTGGGTGTGCGTTTGTGTTATCCATAGCGTGGGTGTGTATGTGTGTACTATGTGTGTGTATGTCTGTACTATGTGTGTGTATGTCTGTACTATGTGTGTGTATGTCTGTACTATGTGTGTGTATGTCTGTGCTATGTGTGTGTGTGTGTGTGTGCTATGTGTGTGTGTATGTGTGTACTATGTGTGTGTATTATGTGTGTGTGTACTATGTTTGTATTATGTCTGTGCTATCTGTGTGTGTGTGTGTGTGTGTATTGTGTGTGTATGTCTGTACTATGTGTGTGTATTGTGTGTGTATGTCTGTACTATGTGTGTGTATGTCTGTGCTATGTGTGTGTGTGTGTGTGCTATGTGTGTGTGTATGTGTGTACTATGTGTGTGTATTATGTGTGTGTGTATTATGTGTATTATGTGTGTGTGTACTATGTTTGTAGCTATCTGTGTGTGTGTGTATTGTGTGTGTATGTCTGTACTATGTGGGTGTATGTCTGTGCTATGTATGTGTGTGTGTATGTGTGTACTATGTGTGTACTATGTGTGTACTATGTGTGTGTGTCTTTACTATGTGTATATCTATATTGTGTGTATACTATGTATATATCTACATTACCTGTATGTCTCTACTGTGTCTATATCTGTACCGTGTATAAGTCTGTACTATGTGTATATCTATGATATGTCTGTACTGTATGTTGCTCTATGTGTATACACCTCTGCACCTATACATGTGTGTGAAGTGTTCTCTCTGTATGTAGAGGTGAAGCCGCCTGCCCCGTGTAATCCTCCTATACCTGTCTGTGTGTGTGATGGGTTGCACTGTGTGTGAGCCCTACAGACCTGTGCCCGGTGTCGGTGGGTGACGGCCGCCTGCCATGCACTGCAGTCTGCACCGGAATGGATTTCTCTCCTCCGTGTGCGGATTATGAAGAGGGATGTGATGACTCTTCCTGTGCTGGGTGTCACCTCTCCCTCCTGCTCAGTGACAGGCAGCTGACCTATCCTTTCATAGCTGGGTAGTGCGTGCAGGAAGAGCAAACATCCACACACCACAGGAGGAGGGCACCTATCACCCAGGGCACTGACTGATTTGGGCAGGTGGCCCCATTTCACTTGCGGGATCGGAGGTGCACAAGTTCAAACTGGGTTTGGTCCTAGGGAAGAGCTTGGGTTTGGGTGGAAAATGGACAAGTGTAAAGGCAACTGTGTGCTGATATGTTCCTGGTTGTGTCTCTATGGTACCGATTGTGTCTCTGCAGACATGTTCCTGGTCGGGTCTTTATAGTACTGATTGTGTCTCTGCAGACATGTTTCTGGTTGGGTCTTAGCAGAGCGGCGGGGGGGGGGGGGGGTATCACTCCCATCCCTAATGACAGGTTCCCTTTATTATATCGGACCCCTCCGCTCGATGTCTGTGAGTGCTGCCCCCAGGTAATTCGGGTTGCCGGACCTCACTGGGCCCCTGCACTGTAAATCACTTATTTGAACACCTGTCTGTCCCCAGACTCATAGACAGAGCTCAGGTCCCTAATGTGGCCCCCGGGGCCCTGTGGGTAATATATATCGGCATTGGTGTACCATACAGATGGAAAATAATAATAGAGAAAAAAGCCAAACTCAGCAGTGAGGCCGCCCGGTGACTGACCCGGAGAACTCATCCTGAGGTCATCGTCCTGACCTCAATGTAGCTGCAACATGTATGTACGGCTTGGACATGGATGACCCTCCCCTTCGAGGAACACACCAGTCATGGAAAATATTGTCCTGACCTCTGTATAGCTGGGACATGTATGAATACTTATCCCACCTCTTCGAGGAACACACCACTCATAATGTTCTGACTTCTGTCTAGCTGGATTATGTATGTGTGGTAATCCCACCCCTTCGAGGAACACTCCACTTATACTAAATAATGTCCTGACCTCTGTATAGCTGGCTTATGTATGTACGGCTTGAACATGGATGACCCCTCCCCTTCGAGGAACACACCAGTCATGGTAAATAATGTCCTGACTTCTGTATAGATGGAACATGGCTGACCCCTCCCCTTCGAGGAACACACCAGTCATGGTAAATAATGCCCTGACTTCTGTATAGCTGGAACATGGCTGACCCCTCCCCTTCGAGGAACACACCAGTCATGGTAAATAATGCCCTGACTTCTGTATAGCTGGAACATGGCTGACCCCTCCCCTTCGAGGAACACACCAGTCATGGTAAATATTGTCCTAACCTCTGTATAGCTGGGACATGTATGTACGCTCATCCCGCCCCCTTCCAGGAACACTCCACTCATACTAAATAATGTCCTGACCTCTGTATAGCTGGATTATGTATGTACGACTTGAACATGGATCTACGAGGTACACACCAGTCATGGTAAATATTGTCCTGACTGCTCTATAGCTGGGACATGTATGTACGCTCACCCCGCCCCCTTCGAGGAACACTCCACTCAAAGTAAATATTGTCCTGCATGACAAGAGGCTCTAATTATCATTAGATTGCTGATGAAGTGGGTCAAGGCAACTGGACTTGCTGTATTTTGCGTGAAGACATTTCACTGGTCACCCGACCAGCTTTCTCAATTCAGAATGACTCGAGAAAGCTGGTCGGATGTCCAGTGAAACGTCTGCAAAATACAGCGAGTCCAGTGGCCTTGACTTATTTTTTTTTTTACAGATATACCATGTGACCCGGATGAATGAGAACCTTCACAGACTCATGAAGGGAGGGATCTGTGTCTGAACCCTGAAGCGCTGGCTGTCATTCTTCAAGGACCAATCAGGACGGATTCCCATGCCTCGGCGCTTTCCTTTTATCATTTAACACAAATTTGCTGAACCCAACTGTCACCCAAAACTGATAGTTCCGAGAGGTGGAGCCTAATGAGCGGACTCAGACCCTGGATTCTAACAGTGAGCTCTCCCAGCCACGATCCCCGGATCTGTTCCTGTCCACCTGTCAGTCATGGGTGTCTCCGCCCACCTTTTTTTTTTTTTTTTTTTTTTGCCACACTTTTTTTATTGTGTAGGGGGTGCCCCCCCCCCTTTTTTTTTTTTTTTTTTTTTTAGGACGCATGCTGCATGTTCGTTCTGAGATGGATGTAACGTGTTTATAAAAGAGAATATCAGAGTAACTGTTATGTGTACAGCTCGGGGAGACTGACAGCGGGATTTCACCTTCCAGTTAAATGTTGGTCTGTCTATAAAACTCCTCAATGTTGTGGGATCGGCCGTAATAAAGGACGATCCTCCCACAAAGCTTTGTCTGTTTTATAACTTTCACATTCCAAGAACAGCTCAAACCTTGAAATTGCTGCGAATCCGACTGACGGCGACTTTCCCACCAAATGCTTCACATAGTTCTGGTTTA